CCCCCCGCCCTCCCGCCCCTCCTCTCCTTTCCTGACACCTTGCCTCTCCTTCTCGGACCTCGTCGGGCGCCATTCTCCGGCCATGGTGGATAGTCCTCTCGCCGGAGCTCCTCGAGCCGGCGACCCCCTTCGAGCTGGCCCCGGAGGCGTCGTCCTTCGTGCAGCACCCGGTCCCCCGACATGGGTCCAGCACCCCCGAGCCCAGCATCTCGGAGAAGCGCCAGCGCGGGGCCGAGCTCCGGCCCATCATCACCGGCAGCGAGCCCACCCTCTCGGCCGAAAGCCCGCCCCCCTCACCACAGTACAAGTCCCGGTCCATCGACCACCTGCCCTTCTCCGGATCCAGCCAGAGCAGCAGCAGCAGCAGCAGCGGCAGCGGCAGCGGCAGCAGCACCAGCGGCAGCAGCAACAGCAAGGGTGGCGATGGAGCGGCCGCGGCGTCGCTGCTGAACCCGGCCGGCCTGGGGGCCCCTTCGCCATCGGCCTCCTCGCGGCACCGGTTCGTGCGCAAGGTCCGTCAACTGGTCGGCAAGCCGGAGCCCACGGGCCCGGCCTTCCCCGCGTCGCTCTACTCGGCCACCGGGTCGTATGCCTTCGATGAGGGGGGGCCTGGTGGTCCGGCGCCCCCGCGGTCGCCCAATCGCGCCGGATCCTTCCACGGCGGCTTGAGCGACCTGGCATCCGGCTCGATGGGGAATGGGCCCCTCGGGGCGGCCGGCGGGTCTCGGAACAGCGTCATCGGCGCCCCGCCCGCCTGGACCCTGCCCTCGGGGCCGATGTTGGTGGATTTGCGCCCGGATGGCGGGAGTGACCTGCTGGATGATGACAGCCTGACCTACAGCACCTGCTCGCTGGATGGCGATGGGCCATCCTCCGGGCCTCCCTCCGGGCGTGCCTCCTTCGAGACCATCCCCCTGGTGGACGGCAGCACCAGCGCCACCCGGCGCGACTATGAGCCGTCCCTCTATGAGCAGGATCTCCAGCTGGAGCATCCGGACCTCGATGGGGAGCACCTGTTCGACTTGCTGGAGGCCTTTCTCAGCGCTGGCGAGGGCGCCGGCGAGGAAGTCACCCGAGCCGCCGGTGGCGCCCCTGTGGCCATGAGCTCGGTGGTTACCTCGCGCCCGGCCCGGCGTCAGGCGCGCATCACTCGCGCGGTTTCGATGCCCACATCGCCGGCAAGCGCCACCGAGTCGACGGCGGCGGCGGCGGCGGCGGCGGCGGCCGCGGATCTGTCCGCCACCACGGCTCGTTTGTCACTCCCGGCGCCGGCGGCGACTGCGGCCGCCACCGACGCCCGGGCGACCACGGCCATCGCCATCCCCGCCCCGCCGACGGCACCCCCCCCGTCCGATCTCGGTCCAAGTGGCCGCCCACACTCTTCCAACACCGATGAAGTTATTTTCCAGCTCCTGCTGGGCAGGGGCATCAATGCGCCGTCTGAGCGGCCGGCCGGTGGGCCGCCCCTCCCGGGGCTGCTCGGTCCCCAAACATTCGCCCTGGCCCCGGTGGCTGGGCTGCGTGCCTTCGCGGTCGCCCCCAGCCAGCAGGATGAGGCCTACGATGGGGATGCCGATGATGAGGCGGCCGCCGGCCCCGGGGCCGGGCGATCCCACTCGCAGGACGTCACTTCCACCCCTAGCGAGGAGGGGGAAGACGTGCTCGGGGACTTGGCCACGGCCGGGGGGCGCTTTGCCGCCGGGCGTCGGGCCACCGTCAGCGAGGGGCTCCTGCCGCAGCAGCGGCCTCTGGCCCCGGGTGCCGGGGCTCTGCCCGTGAATCTGTCCCCCTCGCTGGGGAGCCTCACCTCGGCCCGGGGATCGTCCTCCTCTTGCTCTTCCTCCTCGTCCTCCCTGTCCCCGGCGTCCGGGCTGTCGGCCTGTTCGTCGAACTCGTCGCTGGTGGCGGCGGCCGCGGCGGCCGGGCCGCTGTTTGCGGCCCCCTACTCGCCGCCGTCGTCGGGCTCGGTCTCGGCCGCCTCGTCGACGTCCTCCCTGCGGCGTGGGTCGCTCTTTGTGCCGGCCAGCAACCAGCTGGACACGGTTCTGGAGCAGCCGATGGGCGATGACTCGGACGAGGACACCACCATCACCCTGTCGCCGTTCTTCGCGCGCTTCGCGGCGTCCGCCACCTCCGGGGCCGGGCGCGAGGGCGGGTCCACCCCCGGCGTGCGGCCGATGTCCCTGCTCTTTGATCGGAGTACCTCGGAGCATGTGCTGTTGCCGGTGCCATCGGCCGGGGCCCCGGGGGCCGGGCCTCGCGATGGCCCACCCGCCAAACCCCCGGCGCCCCGGCGCTTCCCCGCCCCTCTGAATGATGAGGCCTCCAACTCGGAGGGGGATATGGCCGTCGATGTGGACGGCGCCGACAGCACCGGCAGCATGTCCGACTCGTCGGGCTTCGACTCGGACCGGCCGGCTTCCCCGTCGCCCGGGGACCCGCTGGCCATGGGTGAGGGTGGTCTGTCCGAGCCGCTGGTTGCCGGAGGGGGGGATCTCCTGGCCGCCGCCACCACGGCCCCCTGCAGCAGCGACACCTCCGGGGAGTCGGACTCGCCGTCCGGCGACCCCGGGACCGCGTCGGAGGAATCCACCTCTCGCGAGGCCCCCACCGCCGGGGGGGCCGCCACGGCCCTCCCCGCGGCCAGCCTCTTCTCGGACATGATGTCGGTCAACAATGCGGCCCTGCTGGCCCCGCGCAAGCTCCTGCGCGATGACTATTCCCTGGTGTATATCCCGTCGCTGGCCTCGTCGGATGCCATTGCCCCGGCCCAGCCGCCGGCCCGGCACCCGTCCACGGGCAATCGGGCTCTCCTGGCTGGCGGGGCCTTTGCCGGCACACTGACCCCGGTGCGGCCGGCCCTTCCACCGGTGGCCGATGGTGACTCCGGCCCCGGCGGGGCGGATAGTCTTGAGGCTTTCACAACCGGGGCCCTGTCTCCGCTGATTACCGTGTCGCAATCGTGCGTGTCCTCCCCCCCCCCCCCCACCCCTCCTGGGCTCTCTGTGTCTTTCCGTGGGCGTCCCTCGGTCTTTGCCTCTCTGCCCTGGTTCCTTTCCCCCTGCCCCTCCCCTTCTATGTCTTCTCCAACCTCCTCTCGCCCCTCTCGTGTCCCCTTCTCACATGTGCGGTTCCTCCATCTCTCTCTCTCTCCCCCCCCC